TCCATCCATCCATCCATCCATCCATCCATCCATCCATCCATCCATCCATCCATCCATCCAACCAACCAATTCAGGGTTGCAGTTAAGCTGGAGCCTATCCCAGCTATCATAGTGCAGGAGGCATGGTACAGCCTGGGCACATCGCCAGTCTCAGGGCTGGCAAAACCCCTCTTTAAAAAAATGCCTGTGTATGTGTGGACACACAGAGGTTGTTGCTAGGTTAAAACCCACGATAACTGATTACACCATAACCATGTGTAACTAGTTACCTAGCCATGCAACCTGCAAGAAGGTGTAGTTTTTTATGTCCACCTTGAATTAAGTCTGTAGCATATTAGGCATAAATGCCAAACACAAAGCTTCTTACCTCCTTCCACTGATGAATAGCACTACAGGGCTGCACGGTCTCTCTCAGTGTTATTATTGTGAGTGTGGTGTAATTAAAAATTTTAAATATTAAATTTGTTTCAGTAATGTTTCCAATTACTTTTGTATACAGCATGTCATAAAATAATTCCTCATGCTGGACGCAGGCTATGAGAGTTATGTGCAGCTAAGGTAACTCTTTTTTTATATTTTGTGTATTTGTGCGGGTGACTAATTGTGGCAGATGGTAAAAAAAACATCTTTCCACTGCTGCAGTGGTGTCACGACGGCTTTGAAGGTCTTGGTTTATTTACAATTTCTCTGTTTGCCTCTACGCATTTTGATTTTTTACAGTACCAATGCTACCTTCTTTTATTTTAATCTTTGGATTTGTAGATGTTTTATTGTCAGCTGTGTATTTTTAACAACACCTAACCAGTTCCATGCCTCTCGTTTAAGTGTCTTGGTTTCCTTTGCTGTTGCACTGATTCAATAAATAGAATCATTGACAAATTAGTTTAATTTGTCTTATTTACATATTGCCAAATCACAACAATCGTTACCTCAAGTCGCTTTATATTTTAAGGTAGAGGCGTTAAGACCCCCTATGAGCAAATTCTTTGGCAACAGTGGGAAGCAAAAACCCCCTTTTAACAGGAAGGAGCAGAACCAGGCTCAGGGAGGGGCGGGGCCATCTGCTGAGAGCGGTGAAGAAAGGACAAAGACACGGTGTGGAGGAGAGCCAGAGCCACTCTGGTCTTGTCATTAACATAAAACATAAAACATCATGCAGGCTCATTTCCTAGTCCAGTTATATAATACAGCACAGTCACCATAGACCTAATTATGATATGTATTGTATGTATAGGAGTGTAGTTGGATGGACGTTCACACGCACAGGCAGAAAACTAACAGGAAGGTCCCGTCTGAATTGAAGCTTGCTCAGGTGCCCAGTTGCTCCAGTGCATCACACTCTTGGGTCTTATCGTCGCTATTTTGTAGATTATTTAGAATGTGGTTAATCTTTAAAGTCTTTGAAGGATTACTAAATAATTCACAGACAGGCCTGCATAAATGTAACACCACAACAAATTTTAAAGTCACAGTAAAATAATAACTAGTGGAACAGAATATGTGGGTGAGAAATACAGTTGTTATAAATACAATGTTATGAATGTACAAAACATTTTTAAAAAACTCACCAAGTGACTTGTAAAGTCAAATCATTTGCAATCTTCCAACTCTGTAGTTCCTCTCGGAGGTTTTTGGAGGAAGCTCGAGCTCTTCTTTGCCTTTTTACGCAACCTAATCACCTTAATACTTTCCTAGCAGCAGCAGCCTGACGGAGCGAAGATGAGCTGATGAAAGTAATAAAGTTGACTCCAATTTTCAATCAGAAGTAAGTGGACACAGAATCTGTGATGAACGATTCTTGCCTTAAATTTATTTACAACCCTAAAAAATGAGGACATGTTATAGAGAATTATCTTCATTAACAAGAGCAGCAAAGTATCCAACATACAACAGATGATCGGAGCGCACGGTGTAGTTCTCAGACAGACCATGTAAGTACACATCTGAAGCAGATCTTTCAAGATGTTAAAAAGTGTATGAACAAATTGCTTTACATAAATTAATACCAAGATGTATATAAAATGAACAACAAGGACCTTCAAATTCAGAATTATTCTGGAACAAAAATACAGTGAAACACAACTACACTGAAAATGATCAAATATTTAATCCAAGAAGGCAGAGCAAAATGAAATATGATGAAAAATGAACATGTAGTACACCGCAGTGTTCTTGGATTTACTGCTTGTTAAAGCTTCCACTGAGGATTAGATCTTTTCTTTTTTTAAAGATGGTTGTTTGTACATTTTCTAAAACTTGAGTCGGTGCAAACACAAAGCAATTCTCCTGAACATTTGAAGCAGAACAGATGGGCCTCAATCCAAAGGTCATGTTGTCATATCACAAATGGACTTATGATGCAGACATATGTGGCAGCTCTTTAGAGCTTATGAGTCATGTTGTCTGGGGTGGCAGCTAAACGCTAGCCTTGCTTGTAATCCAGAGTGCTCAGCCTCCTTTGGGAGAAACTGCAAACAGCACCTTGTCAGAGCACATAAGCAGTAACCTCAGCCACACACACAGCTTGTTAACTGTAATCTAAAGGAAACATATTCATGCAATATGTGATTTAGAAAGAGAATTTATGCTGAGTGAAATCTATTCTTATGCTGAGCCACATTTGTAAAGCTAACACACTTACACATTCAATATTCTTAAAGGAAAATTCCTGAGTAGGTACAGAGATTAAAGTTAATATTCTGTGCTTAGTTTTCATGTTTGATTAGTATTTAATAACTTTAACCTCAATAAGGAATGTTTAACGCCCAGTATCAAAATGATCAAACACTGATTCATGTGAACTAATATTTCTGGCGGGGCAGGGCGCTTTCCTGTAATTACCACAAGTAGTTGTCACTTTTCCATATGTTATATATATATGTTTTGCATGTAAAATTCACAAAGTGCCACAGACGCTCTCGCTATAAAATGCACTGACTCCCAACACGAGCCTCTTCAGGCCCAACCTCCTTCTGAGCATCTAAAATTCAGGGTTTAATCATAGTCTACAAATATCCTTAATCCCTTCCACAAGATCATTCTATAATCTGCAAAAGAAGGACAAAAAGTCTACTTCAAGATGAATTCAGTTGTAATCCTAGCATATTGTGATGTATTAGAACATAGCATCAGACAAAATATTCCTCCTTTATTATGTAAAGCCCCCCTCTTCCCTTCTTATCAATAACACAATGCACCGTTAGAGTAAATATAACCAAAAGTCACTTTTTGGGTTTTTTGATTTTAATGAATGAGCTCCACTCTGAATGTTTCCTTACACGTGGCCTCCTACTCGTCCTTTTCCATCTAACGGTTGCACCTGTTTTTAGGCAGGCATTAACAAATCCCATAATTTGTGCATAAGCACAGAATCTCAGTGCGCTCTGCGTAGCTGCTGCTGTAAAATATCAGCATTAGCCTGGATTTCACTGGGGAAGCCACAGGGTTTAGTACCACTGTCACTTTATAGCAGAGAGGTTCACATATTTGTCCCCGTGTCTGTGCATATTTCCTCCAGGTGCTTCAGTTTCTCCCCACAGTCCAAAGACATGCAGCTCAGGTTAACTGGAGACAATAAACTGCCTGTAGCACAAATGTGGATCTGTCTACTGCAGGGTAGCACAGTGATGGATTGGCAGGTGCTTTTCTCCTTTCATCCAGGGACAGGCTTCAGCCTTTCCACAAAATAGGAATTAGGTACATGGTGGATGACTTTCAATAGCAAGTATTGTTTGACACATGATGGTATAATGGTGTAAGTCACGTTTAGTAAGAATTGGGCTCAGGACAGAACCTTTGCATGTTGTACTTTGTGTTTTTAATGTGGACACAGAAAAAAATATAAAGATAAATGTTTAATAAGTTGAATAAATTAAAGGTTTGGTTAGAATCCTTGCTCCTATATTCTGAAGTAAAAGATCTGCTCATGTTGTGTAGCTACAAATGTTTTTTTAAAGTATGCTTGTAGGAAACAAAGCACACAACACAAACAACACAAAGAAGAAAATATCTTCCTGCTTGTAATTGGACTGACTGTTCTGGAAACTTTCTGCTCCCAAGAGTAATGTCGATTTTATTTCAAACAATTTTTTGAGCACCCTGGATTCATGTTTTTCATAATAATCGATAGTATGTGTATTCCTCATGTACATGTTTCAAACTATTTGGTTTGTTAATTTATGCTGATTAACTGATTCCTCGGTAATTATGCTCAAGTAATTACAACATAAATCTTTTGTGTGTGAATTCCCTGCACAAAACTTCAAGCATAGATTCAGTGACAAAGATGACACATTAAAAAAACAGATGAATAATGTTTAATTTTGAGCAGTACATGTAAATCAGAAATGTTTCTGGGCAACAGAAACATGAGGGGTTGAAAAAAGCCTCAGCCTCGCTTGAACCGTCTATGATGAGGAGCTCAGATGGTCATTTTTAGAGCAAGGATAAAGGGTCCCGCTGGGGGTCTGAGTGCACAAGAACCCATCTGCAGGTCTATTGGAAAAAAAAATGGCAAAAAAGAGTCTGCTGAGGTGGGCTCATCTACATTCCCCTGACACTGTGCAGGAGCCCTGGAGGACTGGCCAGGACATAGGAAGTCATAAATGATTTTCTTACCACCGCAGGTCCTTACTGTTTCAAGAAAATGACCAGAACGTATGAGATAAAAAGGAAACGTGTTTTGAAGCCCCAAGAGTCAGGAGAACGTGCACGACAATGGAGAGCACAAAGAAGCAAGAAGTTATAAGTGCAATTATTGTAGTTCTTATTATTCTTTCTCAGTGTCTGGAAGCTTATGTTAACCATGAAGCTATGCAGTTCTCTATTGAAAAATTACCAAACTGCTTTTTGTAATTTTGGTGTTAATTATTAACCCAGGTCATCAACCTATTACTTTGCAAGGTATTGACAAAGCCTGCTGTGCGCCCCCTCCTCCTTCTATCCCAACAAACCCAAATTGAAGAATCATTGAACAAACTTTTTCATGTAATCATATGCATATTTTATTCATGTAATGATATGCAATCATAGCTAAATCTTTCCGTGTCAGCAGTTCCTGTATGCATGGCCCAAACAGAGTTTCCTGTAACAGAATAGATAAACAGCGTTTGCCAATAAATATCAGAATAAGTGGCTTAATTTAGGACGCTCAAAAATGCACATTTCCCCTTCGTTAAATCCACGGTGCATTTCCACCAACTTAATTACACAGAATCCTGTGCCCTACTTATATCTACACACTATGGTTCCTTCTCACAGGGGGGTCCCAAGCAGGCAGTTGTAATAAATATCAGACTCCCCGTGAAAAACAGCTTACCCAACTATGAAGGCGGTAGCTCCAAGATGGCTAAGCTGCTCCCAAAACAGTAAAAGCTGTCACGTATGACTTGTGTGTGGTGATGAATCAGCTGGAAACTAAATCAGAACTGCTAAAAAAGAGAAATTCACATCCACTGTATCATATTCTAATAAACCACATACCCTACCAGTTGGGGGGGATTATGACTGTCCATTTGTCTAGGCCAGGCCACCACTGTTAGGGAGGAATTCTCTCTTTGCACCATGCAAAGTTAAAAGCGATGGTGGTGACTGCTGTAAGTCATTTGTCTCTGGTAACACTGGTTTGTAGGAAGCTGGGACCTCAGCTCTGGTGGATGATACATTATTGCTATCACTTGGCCTTGTTTAATTACATCCATGTATGGGGTCTGGTATCATATTCTTCAAAGCATATCAATCATGGGAAACTTTAACCAAGGTCCAAGTTATTGTGTCATATAATCCGGTGTTTGACAGAATATGTGAAAGAATATTTCAGCAATAACTTAAGAAACAGTATGGTATCTCGGCAGCTAATCCATTAATACGGTTTATCGCAGCCGCAGAATATAAAATGAATTCTCTGGCTTTTTCTTGAACTGCAAATGAATAATGAACAGCATATGAATGTAGATATTCCTTGAAAAGCTTTTGAAGAACATCTACTTTTTCTTCGAGTGTGCAGTTTAATTTTAGCCTCATGTTGTTTATTAATCACACTTCCTTTCATAGTTATCACCGTTAATTTCGCCACACAGCATTTATGTAAAAAACAAAAATGCATTGAAGCACCTATAGATAATCCCAAAGACATAATGCCTTTCTTTGGGCTCACAGAAATTGTTACAGCCATATATGTTTATTTAGGACAGTAACTTCAAATAGATGCATGTGGATTCACGAGCTTGATAGATTTAAGTGCATTATTAACTTTGACACAAACAGACATATTTATATACCTAAACCTTGTGATAGATGCAAAGAAAATATTCTCCTTGTACCTACCAATTAATACTTAATTAGTACTTTTACATTTTATTTATAGTGATTTTTATTGTGCAATGGACCTAAATTCCCTGCTATGCTTTACGTGCACAGAGTGTGGCTTATTACATTGCTAGCTATGTAATCATTTTGTATTCACTCAACCTTTGTGCCTTTATATTTATATATATAATATTTACAGGTTAAATGCATTATAATTGCTGTGGTGTCATCCAAATATGACTTTACTGGGATCAGATGACAAGATCAAAGCAATTCTTCAAACTGAATTTGCCAAACTGTGTTGTACAGCCATTTGTGTTTGTGCTTATTTTGCCCCCTGTAGCCAATCCAGAGACACATAAACAAACTGAAATGAGCTCTGCATGGAGGCTGATACGTCTCGCTATAACCCAACGCTACACAACAACTTAATGGGTATTTGATAGACTTAATAGACTCATATCTGGTCTGAATTTATGACTAATGTGTTGTAGCTTCATTACTAAGTTTGCTGAAGAAAAGCTGAAACTCGGATCAAACCAAATATTTTTCTGACATGGCAGCACTCTGGGGAACAGCCGGTGTGTGATTGTTGGCTTCTCTGTAGTTTACATATTGTAAATCTAAGAAATTCAAGCATCTCCCTCTGTTAACACAGTGTGCAGTTATGTTGGGAGAGTTGTCCTGCAAATGTTTCCTTCTATTCACGCGGGCCATTTTTCACACGCAACGAGATCCTTGTGTATTTGTGCAACAGTTCTCTTGTCTACATTCGGCAGCTGCAATCTTAAGTCAATGATTTTTTCTCTTCCTTTCCCCAGTTGATGAATTGAATAGGAAAATCCCTCTATGTTTATCCAGGGAGAATATCTCTCAGAGTGGCAAAAATGCAACAAATCCACAATGAAAAGTAAACCGAACCAATCTTTCCCTAATCTCTGCTTGAGAGTAAAATAAAAACTAGATTTTGAGTCTACGTCCTGAGTCAATCGCTCCCCGGATGACTAATGTGTTGCTGGGATAGAAGCTTTGCAATGTGCGATGAAATCTCGCAGGGCCTTTGTGGCTCTCACTTGCTGGACATCCCCATTGAGACAGTAAAGAATAGGTGGTCACAAGGTATGGGCACAATGAAACAGAACTCAGGGACTAGAACAATTGCTTAAGCTGTCAGAGGGTGACAGAAACTGTAATTAATGATATTTTCTATTTTCACGGAAGAGAATGAGCAGCTGACAGAAGCATTATTAATGAGAGCTGCCTTGTTGAAGGGAATAATGGCAGTTTATTAGAAGCAAGACAGATTTAACGGATCTCTCTCAAACAAAGGCTTTAGACACATTGAAAAATGGAGACAATCTGCCTTAAAGATCTAATGGGAGAAAATGTTCAATACAACAGAAATGTCTGTATTGTGATCATATTCTTTTTCCCCTCGAAACCATCTGTTAGGCACGTCAAGAATAAAAGAATTCATTTTTGTTTTTTTCCCTTGATTTTAAAAGAAGTCGCTTATAGCAAAGTCTAACAAAAGTATTTTATTTTTACTATCGCTGCAATTAATCTACAGAAACAATAGCTTGACAGGTACATAGATGGATATTCTTAGTGTTAAATGCAAAACTATAGCTCAATGTCTAGTGAAACTGTCACCTATTAAATCAGAATTATGCTGTTAGAGTGGTTTCCACTCTATATCGAGGATTTCCAACATGATTTAGTATCAACAACTTTGTAAAAGTATACTGCAGAATTTATACATGTGACACAAAGGTATCGCACTTTTGGAAGATTTATTGCGTTCTACTGAATAACATTAGCTTTCTGTTTTTTTCTATTTAGACAGATGTTGTTTAATAGACTGACACAAGTAGGGCAATAGTTTCTATTCACCAATCCAACCAATCACTTTGAGAAAGCATGATGATCCCATTATTCCTCACAGTGTCTCGCGGATTTAGGCAAGATATAAGTATTTTTGAAGTAAAGCAGATAATGGCAATATTACCACGGGGTGAAAAAGATTTGTGTAACATATTCTGGCAGTGTTTCAACAGATACTCCACTGCTTCATTCATTTCACTGGACTGAAATATGGCTTCGATGTGATACTACAGGCATATTCCACTGAATAGACGTATTAGATGATTTCCAGAAATGAAATGATATCTCCCCCCCGAACCTATATTCAGTTCATGTAATTGATTCTCATCCAGCAAGTTTGACTGTATTATGTTTGTTTGAAAAGTTAAAAGAATTCGGCTAATTTCTCCCCAACCAGGCAATACTTAACCAGATTAGAGTGGCCACTTCAAGCTTTGTTGATGCATCCAAGTGAGGCAGGGCAGCCCAGCTGCAAAAGCTGATCAAAAGAGAGAGGGGGAATGTGATATTAGCATCAAGTGCTTCAGCGAGTGACTCAGACAAAAACATTGAAAAAAACATCATTATTAGACACTTCCTTTACCCATGTTTGGAAGTGAATATATCTGTTTGTCAAGCAGCTGTGTGCATCCATACATGGCATTGATTCGTACTTTAACCAGCATTATAAGGCAATTCCTCTTTTCCTTTTTGCAACCCCTTATTGGTAATATGCTAATGACATCCGCTGTGATTAGTGATTTTCTTCTAATCTTTATTCCACGGTGGCCTGAGCAATCACAGAGGTAGAGCTTCGAGATTTCGAGCAGTGAGCTTCTTCTGACTGCTCTTCCCGTCTGCCCCGACTTGATTTAATCTGAATAATAACTAAAAATTTGGATTCAAAGGCCACTGTGGTGCACCGATGCGCTTTTGCGGATTCAGGAAACACACTCAGAGGGAGACACTTTTTGGCTGTCTTAACCAAACCTGTTCTGATTAAAAGGTGTTTAAAAGAGGAAATCCTGATATATTGCTACAATAATGCTTAAAAGGCAATGTGTGGCATTTTAAAAAATCCTTTGGGAAACATTTATTGGACCATCTTTTCATCCTACAGCCCATGTGTCAAAGTATCCTTGGGCAAAATACTGAATGCCGAGCTGCCCAAGGAGTCCGTCAGACAGTGTGAATGTTAGATAAAAGGGCTTAGGTGCAGACAAAAGCGTTGCACTTTTAGTAGGATGCACTAGTTAATTTTACACCGAGCACTAAATAGGAAACAAAATTAAACACTGCCTGGTAAGACATGTAACCACTGTAAACTTTGGTTATTTAAACTCAGAGACATCTGTACAGAGACATCGTGAACGCAAGAAAAAACGTCCTGTGGGGATTGTGGGGGTACTCTAAATATTTCTGTGGTCTCACACTGTTTCAGGCGTTTCAAGCCTTGTCCATCAAGAACACAGAAAAAAGGATTATATGAATTTTCCAGTTAACTCACACCGTTAACCAAAGAGAAAGTCAGTTTAAACTCCAGCTTAGAACATTTAGGAAGACATCATTACAAAGTTCACCCCTTCCCCAAAGCCAAGTATTGAAATGAGGTCTGCCATTTATTCTAGTAATTGAAATACTTTCAGAAGTTTCTGTTGAAGTCTACCTGTAATAAAGTGTCTTTGAATGGAAAAGACTACAGGGTGCACTTACCAGTGCGCGTTTGCATTGAAATGCACTTGGAAGCCCTCCCTAATTGGCAGCCATCTCATTTGGCTTTGATATTGCACACCATCATCTGCATGAGCAGAACAGGCCATTGTCTGGGGGATGAAGTACAGGTGAGTAACAGGCTAATCGTCAAAGACAGCGCAGGCAATGCTGGGTTCAACATGAAGCCATAAAGTAACTCCAAAGTAGTGTCAATTACAGCTTATATTCATAATAAACTGTTCATCCCGGCGATGTTTCGACTCAGCTCGGGATGAACTGTGTTATATAAAGTGGTAATGTGGGCAGTAAAATGTGACTTTAGACAGCGAGATCCAAGGACCTTCTAATTAAGAGCGCCATCTTCGAGACATCATGTGGAGTGATCTAATGGTGAGTGGCCATGCATGCTTTTACCTGGAGTGTGCTTTATCTACCAGTGCCTCGCAACGGGACCTTAGACCAACCCGTCTCCTGCTTTAGTGCTGAGGTATGAACTGCACGGGTCCTAGCAGCCATTCAAGGACCATTACAACCTGAGTGAAACGAATGGGCAAAGTGTTTATGCCATGTAGTACAAACAGCATCGCCAGTGTGAGCTATCATAGGTGTATCTCAGCTTTGGATACAGCCATGCTGCTCCAGAAGGTGTGGCGATAGAATTCACACCACCTGCAGGAGTGAAAAAGACTTCCTGCATCGTTTCGTGATAGGGTGAATTCATGCTATTACAGTCATGCAGGTTTCATCCTCTCTTTAGCAGTCAACTATAACCCATCTCAGAGACGCTAGGTGCTAATTACAAAAGGAAGAACTTGGAAAGAGAAAGCAAACAACAGAATCCAAGATAAAGGATTAAGACAGGTGCCTAATCTTCTGTTTTGGATGTTTTGGGCTTGACAGGCTCAGAGCTGCACATCCTCCTACTTGTAGGTTCATACATTTCACTCTGAACCTGTTGCTAAAAGCAGTGATTAATCATTTAACTTTCCCACAGTCATCCTCGGAGCTTCACAGTGTATGAAAAGCATTAAGAAAAGAGTCGCTGCTGGTGGGACGTGACAAAGCAACGGCCCACTGACTTAACTGAAATTAAATGGACAATTTAAAGCGAGCAGAAACAGAGGAGGAGACCGTGGATTGCTATTTTCATATTTTGATATAATTATTTTCAGTCCACTAGAGAATAAAAGCAGAGAAACCTAAATTAACTCCACGGTAAGCCCCCTTTCTATTCACCTTTAACCCCTTTATATTCCATGCTCTAAAATATCTCCGTAAACAGCTTTAAATAAGCACTGCTTTATTATTTTCTTTGCAAAGGTTTGTCAGACATTTACACAACTATGTATTGGTGTGTCATAACTCTACTGAGGGTTGAAAAATGGATTTAGTTAAGTGCAGGAAGTATTATGTTTAGCTCAGGGCAAAGTGTTCTGTTGAGTTATAGCAGCCGATTACCCACAGCTCTGGTCCGAGGACTACATGGGGTATTTGTTTACACCAAAGGAAATGAAACTATTTCCATTTAACTGCCCTGATTATTGGCCTCCTTTGCTTCATTCCTCAATACATGTGAAATGTTTCCTACTGTTACAATGGGTATCTTTGCTCTGACCACAGCAAATAGAGGAAAAAAAAAAACCCCTCTGAGCGAGGAAATAAAAAAGGTGTGTATTACGTGAAGCATTGCGGACGAATCCTGTTTTCCATTATGTCTTCGTAACCGAATGAGTTTTTATGCAGAGGTGCTGATGCAATTAGCTGTTCCCCTCCTCACCGTGTGCCAGATCGTGCTTCGGTTTCAAAGAGTCAAAGAAACACTATCTTGCTCCAATTTCTGGAGACCTGTGCTTAATTTGGCCTCCTTTATCTAACAGAGTTTTTCTTTTTCAAACACCATGTGGTTTGATTTTGGTTGAATCCAAATAATGGACCACAATGGCGAGCAACCGGGGGCTAAGAGACTGATGTTTTAACTGTGATACATCCACATTTTTATCTCCCACTTTAACAAGTATATCCTTAAGAAACCCCACTGCTGCAGAGACCATTATCTATGTTTCATGAATAGAAAAATATCAATGCTGGAAGCAGAGAGAAAAATAGAAATGTGGCCCTTGGTTTTTGAAAAGAGCCGAGCATTAGGTTGAGCTTCTGCGACGTGCGTTGGAAACACATATTTTAGCCACGTTTATCTCCATTGCTTGACAAAAGTACTGACAAAAGCTCCATATCTTGATTTCCAAGTGCATATACAGTATTTCGGCATAATCCCTACCAGGAGTGAGTGCCGCGCAGAGAGATAGAGGGAAGGTTGTGGGCAGTGGAAAAAACGATGAGGTTGATCCCTCGTAAGCTGGCCCATGGCCTCAACCCTGCAGCATTTATCTGAGCAGCAATGGTAGTGAATCCATCACCAATCGCACAGATAAAAAGACACCCCTGCTGTCCCTGATTCTACTGCCCCCTTGAGGAAACAAAATGACAAAGGTAATAAATGCATCCAAATGCATCATTACACTCTGCGTTCAAGGTGGTTGTAGGTATCAGTCATTTTTATGAGGCTCTTGTAAAGCACACACTTCAGCTATAAGTGAAATGCTCTTCTCTGCTATTTTGCAACACAGATTATGTGACACGAGTAAAAAGGCAGGCACAGTTTATTCAAAGAAAACAGACCCTGTGCCTTTAATTTTACACACACAGTGAAGTAAAGACAGAAAAAGTGTAAGAAATACACCCCCGAAATCGGTGTTTCGTTTTTTATTGCTGTGGCCATTGTCTTACAGCTTCGGAACAAATCTGCGGAGCAAATCTACAATCTACTGTCTCCTCAATATTAAATTGTTACCCACCAATTACGCGAAGCACAGATGCTTCATCCAATCGGCAGCTGGTGTGCTGTATATTTCCGTTAATATTTCACATTAGCCTGTAGCGCTACATAATACCAGATGATTGCTTGTCTGTTATGGTATACGATGAGAAGTGTTCGGGGCTGCTAATGTGAGACGTCTCTGTTTACCACTTTGATGGATGGCCTCCCTGATAGGACCTGAGTTACGTTCAGGGGTGTCACAGGAAAAAGATGACAGATGGGCCCAGCTGTTTAAGATATCGACACTTTGACCAGACCATGAAGACATTAATCACAGCATGACTAAGCAGCACGGTGGGAGAACGGGTGACTTCTCTTATTAAGACACAAGTCGTGATGGTGGGAAAACCCTGCGTAACACACCGTTCAGTGATCAGAAGTTATAAATATTATGGCGAAGACAATGCAGAAGCGACCCAAGGAACTTGTAACATGATTAACCGTCACCAGAGATTAGGGGCCAGTAATAAAGATAAACGGGGGGCTGTTGATGCTGTAATATGATATCAAGGGATGGCAGCTATCCAAGAAGTCAGTGTCACAATGAAAAACAGGGCACTAATGGCTCTTTGGGATCTGAAGACTCACTCGCACCACGTTGTCTCGTTGATAAAACACAACTGGTACTAGTCTCGCCGGAAAAGATGCTGCCATGTTATTTCTATATTGTGCCTCTCGATTAAATATTTATCCACCTTGAGAGCATCACCTTGTAGTTTAGTTCAAAGACATTTATCCCTGCTACGGTGATTTCTATGATGATCCTCTTTGATACTGACAATTATTTGAGACGATAGTTTCTGTGTTGATATGTTTCTTATACATGTGATAATTACAAGACAGTGATTGGCTGTGTTTTAGCTAAATATTAAGATGCACAAGTCATATTTAAAGTTTATTTAAACTTAAAAATATTTTGGGATTATTTTACTGCAGATTGATTACAGTGCAAAACTTTTCTTCTCCTGTCGTAATTGATGTTAATTTCAATGCCTCCCAACCTGCACAAAAAAGTGACAGAAAAGACAACAGAAGTCTGGCTGACAAATTAGACTTGAAATCGTTCATTAACATAATGTCTAGAAGTTCATTAATAACGCCGTTTTAAATTATTCATGGTCTTGTTTCACTAGATACAGCATGTTTCCTCCTGCTGAGCTCCACATCTCAATTGGCTAAAAATGGTATAAAAAAAAAAAGAGAAGTGAGAGAACGAGGGGATGAAAATAAAGGAAAAAAATGAGAGAGAGAGAGATCACAATGCACACAAAGACGGGTCATTATTTCAGCACTGCGGGGAAGACAGTTAGACACTACTTTGTTCTGTTCAATTTGACTCTGTGCGACACAACATGCAACCACAAGCGTAAACCAGCGTATACCTTATTTTAAAAAACAAACAAACAACTATGCATGTCATAAGTATGACTGTTTGACTACCCACGGAGCTGTGTATTTGCTGCACAGCTTGGTATACTATGGATATCCCACTGTTGTGATCAAATAGTTACTTGGCTAGCATTCGTGAAACTATGGTTTCACACCAGCTGTACCGCCGTTTCAGACATTACAAACTTTGAAGCAGCTCCTAGCTGTTTGTGCTAGCCTACTTTGCCTTTCACCTTTTTTCTCACAGTGCTTTCTACATGAAATGAACATCCTCACTGGTGCACGTTTCACTTACCCAGTAAAGCACAACCCCCCCCAAAGTGATCAGTTTGCTCGGATCTTACAAATGCTTCATTCTATAGAAAAGCACTTTGATGCTACAGAACCCAGTGTCATCAAGGACGGCACTAACATAGTAAACAGCAAGAAACACAATGTTTCTTTCCTCTTCCTGAACTGGAATAAAAGGGGATCTCATTTTTCTTACCATAAATATTATCTCTGGTAAGTAATTTTGTGACTACAATTTGATCAGACATGCTTAATATTCTATTGAAATGCCACAGGCTTTGGCAAGCGCCCACTCAACATACCTGTGCAAAGGAAAGCCATCTTATATTTGAAATGCTGAATAGTGATGAATGAATGGAAAACATATCTGCATGATTTTTCTCTCAAACATAGTTTCATACCGGGTGCTTAGCAACATTGCAGCTGAGCAGATAAAGGAGGAGGCGAGAGAAATCCTCGCTGACAGCTGCTTTCTCCAAGCTTCTCCATGTTGTAAAGATGTACCCTCAGAACTGTATTGAAACAACTGA